TTTTGCGGTTTTATTGTATCATGAGGCATTGAAACATCTGAACAAATCAATATCTGGGCGGTGAGGCAGCTGCTTTCTCCTTCACTTCTTTGGGTTACTGCAGCTGCTTTCTCCTTCACTTCTTTGGGTTACTAGAGCAACTTGTCAGTAGATTAAAAAACAAAACAAAAACAAAAACCGACAATCTTTTGCATTACTTAAGTCTTTCCAATGCATGCACTGGTACAACACAAACTTCTCCTGTCAGATGCAACTAGTCGAGCATTCCAAACACCCTGCACAACGCCGTGGTGACAGAAGCGCGCTGCACCCACTCCCACCTGGGCCCTGCTCATTTGTGTATGATATTTGGAGCATCTGGAGGAGAGAGATAGTATTGGGAAGAGGAGGGAGGAGGAAACAGCGCGAGTATCTGGCCAGGTGGAGGTCAGCCGAAGTTGTGCAGGGCAAGCCTGAACATGTCATTGGTGCAAACCCAAGCATCGTTGATGTTCTTTAATAGAAACATCTGGTGAAACCCATGATGGGATCTTCATTGGCCTTGAGCTGGCCTACGACCATGCTGATGATACAGCTATCTGGTGTAGGCTGATGGTTCTGCGCCATGATACTATGCTGGATTTTCTGGAAGGGAAGGCTAGACAATTTCTTCACAATGGCAGCTTTCCCCTGGAACTGCTGTCCTTCCCACGTAAGCCATGATGCATCAATGTAAATTGCGCCTAGTTGGGTTCTGTCATTATCAAATAACTGGTAGTAATGCTGAATAAAGCTTGATCCAATCTGCTCCCAAATTGGCTTGTCTCCCATCCTGGAGAGTCACCCACCTCACCAAGACCCGTGGGGCTGGCACGATGGCGGCAGCGGCAGCGGCAACCCAGCGCGGTCCAAGCTTTCAGTTTTCTAAAAAAAATATATACCCAGGGCCTGGAGAGATGGGTTAGTGGTTAGGAGCACTGGCTATTCTTCCAGAGGACGCAGATTTGAATCCCAGCACCCACATCATGGATTACAATTGTCTGTAACTGCAGTTCCAAAGGATCCGTCACCCTTTTTTGACTTCTGGGGGTAGTAAGCAGGCATGTGACACATAGACATAAATGCAGACAGAACACCCATATGCATAAAATAAAATTATATATAATATACTATTATATATTCAGAAGTGGAATTGCTGTGTGTGGGAATTGTATTTTCAAAAATATTATTATTATTTTAATTTTTCAAGACAGGGTTTCTCTGTGTAGCCTGTAGATCAAGCTGACCTTGAACTCACAGAGATCTGCCTGCCTCTGCCTCCTGAGGGCTTGGACTAAAGGTGTGTGCCACCACTGCCTGGCTTTAGGATAATGATGATGGTGACGATGATGAGGAAGAACCAGGGAGTATCTTATTTAAAGATTAGATGAAGGTCAGGGACATAGCTCAGTTAGGAGGACTGAGCAGGTATGGGATCCTGAGTTCAGTTTCTTGTATCATACACACATGAACTCTGGCCATGAACTCTGGTGAGCGGAGCAGAGAAGTCTGCCTTTGCAGGCAGACTGGCAAGCTCAGCTGGAAGGTTGAAGGAAGAGACATGCTGCTAGAGCGAGGAACAAGCGACAATAAGTGGATTATTCACTTCCTCGTTGGGTTAAAACAGAATGGCCTTGTTCATCCTACCACTTCTGTAGAGAACCTAGTGACTCATTGGCATGAATTTCAAGGTTCATTGATTGCTTGACACCCCATCGGACATTGCATTCTGGTGTATCGGTCTGTTGAGCCTAGTGTGAGACTCAGGCCAAATCAAAGGCTTTCTGTACATTTTATCTAAATACTTTTTTTTGGTTTTAGTTGTATGGGTTGATTGCTAAAAACCTTTGTTCACCTTTTTACAGAAATATTCTTTGAGAGACTTGCAAGAGCATTTCGTGAATTGATCTGTTCCTCTTTCTCACATATGATATACATAATTTTTATTTGGCTTGTCTATTTTAAATTCTTATGAATTTATTTTTATTTGTGTGTATGTGTATGTGCCTGGTTGCCTGTGTGTGCATCAGTGTCTGCAGAAGCTGGAATTGTAGTTACAGGTGGTTGTGAGCTACTTGGCATGGGTGCTGGGAACTGAACCTGTGTCTTCTACAAGAGCAGCAAGTGCTTTCCAGCTCTGTTGTCCCCCCACCCCCTGCCCAGACAAATCACAGATTTAAATCCTCATGTGCTTATTATCAATTACTGGTTTCCCAATTATGCTATTGACTTTGTATTTTTGTAGGCTGTCGCACACTAACTTTGGTACTAGGACCAGGTGTCTGTGTGTTGTAGCATTGCTTAGGAAACCTCTATGCTGAAGGCATTTCCTAGCATAGTGCCACAGTGTCAACTCCCTAGCATGAACAGTCTTCCCCTGCTGGGCAGTGCACTGGTGAGTTCAGGGTAGACATAACCAGTTTTCCTCCCTGTTTCTCTGGAGGAAATGCTCTCAGGAACTGGGTGTCAGGCTAAGGAGGTTTCATCTTGAGGGAGAGTTGGTAAGTTTCTGAGAACTGTAAACCAACACAACTCTCAGATGTTTGGAAGCAGCCACCTCCTTCATTTTCCTAGATACTCCTGAGACTGACCCAGGATGCTTAGCCAACAGGGTCCTGTCCCACAGGGACCTTCCTGCCTCATGTTCTTTCTTCCCCCTGGATACTAAGATTCATGTATGTTACTTTTTTTTTTTAATAAAATAGCTGTCTTGTACAGTTTTCTATCATTGCTAATAATAACCGTACATACAGGTGAGGTTTGCTTTGGTCCATGCTTCCAGAAGTGTTGGTCCGTGGTTGGTTATCCTGTTTCTTTTAGGGCATGTGACAACCGGCCATAGCTGGAAGGGTAGGAAGAGGAGAGGCTGGGGTCCCATCGACTTAAGAGAAAAACCCTTCAATGTCTATTTCCTTGAGCTAATCCTGACTCCCAAAGATCCAGCGCTTCCAGAGAGCACTTGGAGCTGGGCCTTGAACACATGGGACCTTGGCAGGTAGTTAAGATCTGGACTATAACAATGACCTTGGCAGGCAGAATTACGAGAGGTGTGACCGATGCCTCTCCCCCCCCCACAAGGGTCTCATGGGGGTCTCTTCAATATTAATAAGGCAGTGTTGTTGATGACAAAGCTGGTGTACTGGAGGAGGCAGTGTCAAGGCAAGACGGTAAGACGTAGAGGGAACTACTAGAAGGTGTGTTCTCCTGTCCCCAGACTCAGCGATCTAGCTCTTGGGACCGGGCCCCACATCAACAAGGTGATATGGTCAAGGTTAATTGGAGGATTCTGATTAGTATTCTCCCTCCTAACCTCCCTCTCTCCTCCCTCCCTTCTCGCCCCTTCCTTCTTCATCCTCCTCCCTGCCCCCCTCCCCAGGGGACCTACCTGTCTCTGCCCCCTCAGAGCTGGGAATGAAAATACATGCCATCATATCTGAGGGCTAGGATCAAACTGAGGACTTCCTGCTTGTATAGTCCTTTACTGACTGAGCTGTCTCCAGCCAATAAAAGCCAATAAAAGAGAAAAAACCTGTTTCCTTAACAGTAAAAGCCACTGATTTCTCCCTGTATCTTAGGCCCTTTCCACTCTAGGGTTAGGTGAGTCCACCCATACTTAATGCATGGGAAGTAAACCTCACGTTGGGGGAAGTCCTCACCTCTGACCATTTATCCATATTACATCACCACAGAGCCAGCGTTAGGTACTGGAGTTGGGAAACAGATGGGTTGAAGCCATACTTATGCTCATTCCATCACTTAATCGGCCTTGGGCATTCAATCCTCTGCTTATGTACAATGAGCATGCTCAGATCTCCCTTATAGTTTTGCTCTGTTGGAGAAATGCAGTAGAACAGGGTACACACACACACAAACACGAATATAAATTATGTTATGAAATATGTAATATATATACATATATATATAGTGTAAGTCCTTCCATTCTTGTCTCAGGCTCCCCTGCCCTATCCTTTTCATATTGTTTCCATACCATAATTGTATAGTTCTCTCACAAGCTGAGCCTGTGTCCTGCTTATGTCTAGGTTAGCACGCGGCATAGAGTAAGAACTCTGTTCTTGTTGAATGAGTGCTTGGACAAATGCACGAGTCCCCTCATCCCCAGTTGCACCCCCCCCCAGGTCATCTTTCTAGTTCACTCCATGCAGGTCTCTTCTGTACTCTAATCCTATATTACCACACACTTGGTACCACTGAAATGTATCCTTATGCAATTCTGGAGGGTGGAAGTCTGAAGCTGAGATCTTAACAGGATGCTGCTCCCTCTAGAAGCTTAGGGAAGAATCCTCCTTGCCCCCTCCCTCCAGGCCTCACTCTGTAGCTCAGGCTGGTCTAGAACTCATGGCCATCCTAATGTTTCAGCTTCCTAAGTACTGGGACTACAGGCATGAGCCGCCACACCTGGCCCTCTTCTTTCTCTTAGGAAGGTACTTGTCACTGGGTGTGGTGGTGGACACTCTTAAATCCAGCACTGGTTGATAGTAGAGGCAGGAGGACCAGGAGCTACATCGTGAATTTGAAGCCCACTTGGGATATATGAGACCCTGTTCCCCAACTCAAAAAAGAGTCTTGTCATTAGAGTTAGGACCCACTTAAGTAAACTAGAATGACTATATCTGCATTTCTTTTACGTACCTGCATTTTTAACTGTATTCTCACATAAAGCCATATTCACAGGTCCTGGCAGTTGGCCTAGGACAGTCTTTTTGGCAGCCACAATTTAACTCTACCCTCTGAGGGTTCTGTCCTCTCTGTTTTCACCAGGCTGGAGGGAGGGGAATGGGAAATCATGAATGAAAGTTTCAGTTCCCCAGGTTGAAGAGTCTGGGGCACTCGGTGGGGGGTGTGTGTGGGGAATGACACACACACACACACACACACACACACACACACACACACACACACCGCACGACGACTCTGGAGTGGAAGTTTGATGTCACTAGTATTGATGATATATTGTTTTTCAGGTTGATTGTGTCCTGAGCTGAAGATGTTCCCTGAACAACAGAAAGAGGTGAGACACTACCTGTTCTTTTATGGAAAGTTAGGGCTGAAAACCTGAAAATTACCCACAAATTTTGGCTCATCACAGATTGGTCCAAGTAGTAACTCAAAACTGGCGATATCTCAAAAGGGGCTGAAGGAAAACAGACCTTGCCTGTCCCCACTATGGACATGTCCATGGCCTTCCTGCTAGTTTGTGGCTGGCTGTAATGCACCCTGCCAGCCACTCAACTGTCTAAACGCTGCCTGCCAGACCCAGAATCCCCAGGTTCTGCCTCCCACTCTTTGCCTGAGCATCTCTTTCCTCTGCTTGCTTGGTTTTCTGCTCCTGCTAACTCATCCCTGGTTACTCCCAGCCTGAGTAGGTACGCAGGAAAGCGTCTGCCTTTAGTTTCAGTGTGACCTGTTTGTCGTTGTTTTGCTTTTGTTTCTTTCCCACACAACTCGAGCAAGACTATCTTTTCTTGACTGCATCTTGTACTTAATGCCTCCAAAGACTAGTTTCCTGGGCTTCTACCTGGGGTAGAGCTAATTCAGCTGCCCTTCACTATCCAAGGGCTTGGCTTTATTGATTTGTTTATTTATTTATTTGAGACAGGGTCTCACTATAGCCCTGGCTCTCATAGAATTCACTCTGTAAACAAGGCTGGCCTCAAACTCACCAAGACTCCCCTTGCCTCTGCCTTCTAAATACTGGAACTAAGGGTGTACTACCACACCTTGAGAGAGAGAGAGAGAGAGAGAGAGAGAGAGTGTGTGTGTGTGTGTGTGTGTGTGTGTTTCTGAGTGTGGATGTGGAGGCCAGGGGTCAGTCTCAGATGTTACCCTCATGTACCTTCTACCTACTTTTATGAGACAAGGTCTCTCACTTGGCTTGGAGCTTGTGTGTCTGTGTGTGTGTGTGTGTGTTTCTGAGTGTGGATGTGGAGGCCAGGGGTCAGTCTCAGATGTTACCCTCATGTACCTTCTACCTACTTTTATGAGACAAGGTCTCTCACTTGGCTTGGAGCTTGCCAGTTAGGATAGACTGCCAGGCTGAGGAGCCTCAGGGATTCTTTGTCTCCCCCCCCCCCCCAAGTGCTGAGATTTCAGGTTTATGTCACCGTGTCCTTGTGTCACCAGGCTCTAATCAAGGGATCAAACACATGTCCTTCCATATGCTTGCACAACAAATACTGTGCCAATTCAGCCATCTTCCCTAACCCAATTTGTTCAACTTTGTTCCTTTTATGCAGTCCAGGACCCAAGCTTAGGGAATGGTGGTACCCATGTTTAGGGTGAGAACTCCTGTCCCAATTAACCTAGTCAAGATAATCCCTCATAGGCATATCTTGTAATTCCAGATCCTGTCAAGTTAATCAATATTAGCCTCCATACCAACTACAGAAAGATAACTGGCCCATGGTGCACACCTTTAGTCCCAGCACTTGGGAGGCAAAGGCAGGCCAATCTCTGTGAGTTTGAGACCAGCCTGGTCTATAGAACGAGTTCCAGAACAGGCTCCAAAGCTACAGAGAAGCAAACAAACAAACGCATCAGTGATCTTGAAAATGTCCTCTCTGATAAGTGACTACATAACTATATCATATCATTAATGAATTTAAAAATGCAATTCCTTCAGTGGAAAAGGGAAAAGACATGGAGATGCAGTGTTAAAAAAAAATCTAGCTTAGTTTTGTCAGTAAGAAATAATTATAGTGAAGTGAGATCCAGGGTGTATTGTTGCATAACATCTGGCTGCTCATCAGCTGTCTGTCCATTCTCCAATGGACCTTTAGAGCCAGCCAGAGTCCAGAGTCCTGCACATGGCTTCCAGGTACCTGCAGGCCTAAAGTCTCCCTTCTTCCTTCTCCCCAACTCGGGGGCACTTCTTGCTTCCTATTTCCGGGCTTACTTTGGAACATCAGCAGCTCTGTGCCATCTTGTCCCCTCGGCTGTTTCTAATATTGCCCTCTTGCTTTGCTTTCACACGTTGCCGAAGGAGGCTGCTGTCCTCTCTTCCTTCAGGCCTCGGTTGGGGATCAAAAAGAGACTTCCTGAAGCCTCATTTTAAAAAGGGATTTTCATCCCCTTGGTTGCCCAAAGAATACTCTACACTCAAGGCCAGTTGGAGGCACCAAGTCTGTAGAGCCTCGCTACTGGTTGTCTTCTAGTCAGTCAAAGTCCCCCTAAGCACACACGTAAGGCTCAGATGCAGTATCACTGATTGCTTTAGAAGCTAGACCAGTATTTGTATAAGCATTTTCCAGGTGGTGCCTACAGATAGCAGCCATTACTAATTAATCATTAGATTGGCATGTGGATTAAGGCCTACTTGCCATCTTTGTTCAGGATGCAGATGGCCAGGCATGACATGCCAGCTCTCCAGAGCTGTTGGTGCCAGCCTCGAGGTTCGGTCATTTTTTTTTTTTTTTTTTTTTTTTTTTTTTTTAAGATTTGGGAAATGTAGTCTCTCTTGTCGAAGCAGCTTTATTACCATAATAAATCTAGCAAGAGGAGAGAGGGGATCGAGAGTCTCCCTTGTTGGTTAAATATGTTCCATTTGCTCATTGGCTTGAATTCCCAGGAGAGCAGTACCTCAGTTGATTGATTGTCCCTATAAAAAGGCCTTGGCATTAGGCCACTGTAAAATTAAAATGAATTCAGACTCATTCATGCATGCAACTTTAATTTACAATTAAAATATTATGGTTACATATTTTAATAAGAATAATTAGACGGACCCAACTGAATCAACCCTTGTGTTTAATGAGACAGAACCCAGAATGCAAATGGAAAGGCAGGTGGGTGTGACAGGGGACACATTTCAGACAGCATCTTTTGTGGCGTCAGGCATTTTTGCCCTTCTTATATTCTGATGCCCAGGAAGAGCAGTTTGATTTCTTTGCAGCACTGAGGACCGGGTCCCCTGCCTCAGGAAGTTCTCTGTCTGAAGGGTGAAGAAGCCTCACCCCCTTGCAGGACACAGACCGTTTCCTGGAGATTCACATCCTGGCCTTGACCCTGGGGCTGCTGCTCCCCCATGAAGGTGCTGGCTTTCTTCCTTAGCCGCTGGTGTAACCGACACCCTCTTAGGGGGTGAAACTTGTCTTTGTGCCTGGTATATGCATACACCTGGCCATCTCCCTACTTCCCGGAACATGGTTCCTGCTTTCTCCCTTTAGGGTAGTGGTTCTCAACATGTGGGCCGGGATCCCATTGGGGTCAAATATCAGATGCCCTGCATATCAGATATTTATATTATGACTCATAACTGTTGGAAGCCTTTATAATTTATTACAGAAGTAGGAATTAATATTCCAGGTACCAACTCCAGAATATTTGTTACTATGAACTTGGCTGTATGTAGAATGTATCCTGGGCGCTTTGTATTCTCAAATGGGCCCCAGAGAAAGGAATTCCTTCTCACTGGGGTGTCAGCAATAAGAGCTGCAGCCTCTGGATCTCACACGGCATAGCCTTAGTTTCCCCCTGTGATAAAGCACTGAGAAGTCCCCTTTAATGAGTTAACAAGTCCCCTCTGAGACTTCAGTTTTCCACGACATTTTGCAAGTCACATCCATCATGGGAGAGACCTGCTTTTCTCAGGATCTTACACCTTCCTGGCGCTGAGAGATACGTGCCCTATTGTCAGAGAGTTGTTAAATGTGCCTGTAGGGATAGAAACTAGAAGCCTTGTGGGATAAAGAGACCTCGGGAGAACTTTTAGAAAAAGGAACTTTTGAGTCTTTTTAGAAAGAAATTTAGAGAATTTTTAAGAACTTTTAGAAATCTTAAAGAGAGCTTTTAGAGAAATAACTTTTGAGGAGAGAGCTTTTGAGAGATAATTTTTTTGGGAAGTCCCCATCTTTGAAAAATAAAGAGCCATGAGAGGGATGAGTGTGTGATTTGGTTTATTTCCTTTGGGCCCGCAGATCAGAGCTTTTTAGCAAACTCCTATCTGCCTGCTATTACATAATGTTAGCAAAAGTATGAAGTAGCAACTAAATAACTTTATGGTTGGGAGGTCACCATAGTATTAGAAAGGTTGAGAACCCCCGATATAGAGACTTATACTTTAAAGGTAAGGAATTTTTGACCCAAAGTGCCCTGCTTGGTGAGGCAGGCCAGGCGGATCTTGAGGAGATTAAATACATCGCATCTGCAGTTCCCCAGAGTGGCAGCGCCCTTCCCCCTTCTCTCTCTCCCCCTCCCTCTCCCCTCCCTCTCCACCTCCCTCTCCCCTCCCTCCCCTCCCTCTCCCCCTCCCTCCCCTCCCTCTCCCCCTCCCTCTCCCCTCCCCTCCCTCTCCCTCCCCCTCCCTCTCCCCCCTCCCCCTCCCTCCTCTCACTCCCCTCCCTCCCTCTCCCTCTCCCCTCCCTCCCCCCTCCTGCCCCTCCCCCTCTCTCCGCCCCTCCCCCTCTCTCCGCCCCTCCCCCTCTCCTCCCTCCCTCTCCCCTCCCTCTCCCCTCCCCCTCCCCTCCCCCTCCCTCCCCCCTCCTGCCCCTCCCCCTCTCTCCGCCCCTCCCCCTCTCTCCGCCCCTCCCCCTCCCCCTCTCCTCCCTCCCTCTCCCCTCCCCCTTCCTCCCCCTCCCTCTCCCCTCCCCCTCTCCCTCTCCCCTCTTCCTCCCCTCCCCCTCTCTCCGCCCCTCCCCCTCCCCCTCTCCTCCCTCCCTCTCCCTCTCCCCTCCCCCTTCCTCCCCCTCCCTCTTCCCTCCTCCCTCTCCCTCTCCCCTCTTCCTCCCCTCCCTCTCCCTCTCCCTCCCTCTCCCTCCCCCGCTCCTCCCTCTCCCCCTCCCCCTCCCTCCCTCCCTCCCCCTCTCCCCTCCCTCCCCCTATCCCTCTCCCTCCCTCTCCCCCTCTCCCTCCCTCTCCCCTCCCCCTCCCCCTCTCCTCCCTCCCTCCCTCTCTCTCCCTCCCTCCCCCCTCCCCCTCTCTCCGCCCCTCCCCCTCTCTCCGCCCCTCTCCCCCTCCCCCCTCCCCTCTCCGCCCCTCCCTCCGCCCCCCCCTCCCCCTCCGCCCCCCTCTCCC